ATCCATTACTTAAGACTTCAAAAATAACAAAATAATAGTAATAAATAAATTTTCAATTCAATGATCTTTCACAAAACCTCTTAAATTTAAACTTGATCTGATGTAAAAGTACAATTTAATATTTTTTATAAATTTTTATTTAATATTTTTTATTTTAGTACAATTTTTTAAATATTTTTAGGGGATATATTTTTGAGAAATATGCAGAAGTTAGAAGGTGTTAAATGGGCTATGGCTGGATATAATGGTTGAGGGGTAGGAAGAGTAAGCTGGGCATGATGTGAAGAAATGGTGAATATTGTCAGCTTCTTTCTTATTACAGATGGTGCAGGTTTCTATTTGATTGAATCTGTGTGTTACGGTTTTGATAGGTATTTGTTGAAACTTAATGTTAGCTGTCCGGATTTGAGCCATGAGTTTTTAATGCGTAAAGGGCAGGCCAGTTGTTAAGTAGTTATGAATTATTTGTGTTTCATTAAACATTGATATATAATTCCCGATAATAACAAGATATATAATTTCCGTTTTGGATAGATCAACCATTTTTAAGAAATCTTTATAGTTTTGAATGAGGGTTTTAAATATATTTTTCCTGTTTTTTTTTCATCTTTACAATTCGTAATTGTGTCTTCTTCATTACATCTGCTGATTAGTCTGTCTGAGTTGTAGCACAAAGTTTTTTTTCGTGGCTTGTGGAAATTTATTGGCTAATCTAATGAGTTTGGTGAGGCATATTTTTGGATACCTGGATTCTTCCATATTTAATATTATATCAGTCCATTTCAACGCTTTTTGTAGAACGATAGATGAGTCAGGGAGGAATCCACATTCGAGTTTGACAATGTAGTCTAGTGTGGTACGGTGCAATCCCAGTATTCTCTTGTAATATTGAAGCTGACTTCATTCTAGCATCGGTATATAGCGCAGCCCCCACACCTCCGAACCGTACAGTCTGTAGGCCAGACCCCCGTTCCGTATACTCCCTCCCCCCCCCCCCCACCTCCACATCCCTATAAATTGCATATCGTTGTGTTCCTTGTAACTATTTATTAAAAAAAAAGGCAATGTTCCCACAAAAAAAAGTGAACGAACTGCCCCAAAATTGCGTCCATACATGGCGGACTGACATCTTTGACTTGAGTTAGTTTTTTTATTACTGAGAATCAGCATTTGGCTTAATTTTGTCATAGTTGGTGTTTTATTAAAGCTGGATAGTCAGAGAATAATAAAGCATGAAAAAATATTAAAATCTAATTGGCTTAGGCAATAAAAAACACCAGTAAAGTCAATTTTTTTAACAAAAAATTTTTCAAGTGAAAATCAAGCGTCGTTTGTAATTAAACGGCCAACAATAACGCAAAACGTGCTGAAATAAAACATATGGAGAATATATTCTTCTTTCTAAAACATTGATTACTTTTTAAAATATTTGGAACAGTTCTGTAGAAACCGCACTAGAAAAGCGGTATTGGCGTAGGTGACTTCAGGCCTCTACCATACCATTCAGTACTTATAAATGACTTAGTTATAGTGCTATAATAACGTTTTTGGTACATTATATTGATTGTATTAACGAACATTTTAATTTTTTTTTTTTAATTTATTATTTTTTTTTTTTTAATTTAACTTCCTTTATTCTATACGGAGGTCGTTTAAGAAGACCTCTATTATAAAAATTATATAATTATAACAATAAAACTTAATTCAAAAATACTTTGCTGAATATCTTGACTTTTTTATTTAACGTTTGCAATTTAACAGTTTGTTTTATATATTTACTGATTATTAGAGGACGTAATTGTATATACTTCCCCGGAAATGAGTCATGTCAATACCTGTTTTATAAACTAAAATAATATATACCTAAACTGAACTACATATAATGAATAGTTGAATGGTTGTTTAGTAAAATTCATATATCACTATTGAAAAAATCATTTTTATTCCCTTTATTTTGTTCAGAAGTTGGACCATGTCATAACAAAATATGAAATTTTAATATTGAATGCATTATTGTATCTATGACTCTGCACAAAGAAAGATGGAAAGGGCGAAGCTATAAGTTCTTCAAGGTAACTGGAATTGATTGTTAGTATATGGTCTCAAAATGAGGGTAAACGCGAAATTGAACCCAAACATTGGAAAAATATATTAAGCGAACTACAAAGGAATCAATTTTACTAAACAACCCTTTAACTATTCATTATATGTAGTTCAGATTAGGTATATATTATTTTAGTTTATAAAACAGGTATTGATATGACTCATTTCCGGGGGAAAATATACAATTTATATTACCTCTAAGAATCAGTAAATATATAAAACAAAGTGTTAAATTACAAACGTTAAATAAAAAATTCAAGATATTCAGCGAAGTATTTTTGAATGAAGTTTAATTATTATAATTATACAATTTTTATAATAGAGGCCTTCTTAAACGACCTCCGTATAGAATAAAGGAAGTTAAATTAAAAAAAAAAAATAATAAATTAAAAAAAAAAAATTAAAATGTTCGTTAATACAATCAATATAATGTACCAAAAACGTTATTATAGCACTATAACTAAGTCATTTATAAGTACTGAATGGTATGGTAGAGGCCTGAAGTCACCTACGCCAATACCGCTTTTCTAGTGCGGTTTTCTACAGAACTGTTCCAAATATTTTAAAAAGTAATCAGTGTTTTAGAAAGAAGAATATATTCTCCATATGTTTTATTTCAGCACGTTTTGCATTATTGTTGGCCGTTTAATTACAAACGACGCTTGATTTTTAACTTGAAAATTTTTTTGTTAAAAAAATTGACTTTACTGGTGTTTTTTATTGCCTAAGCCAATTAGTTTTTAATATTTTTTCATGTTTTATTATTTTATGACTATCCAGCTTTAATAAAACACCAACTATGACGAAATTAAGCCAAATGCTGATTCTCAGTAACCAAAAAACTAACTAAAGTCAAAGTCGTCAATCCGCCATGTTTGGACGCCATTTTGGGGAAGTTTGTTCACTTTTTTTTGTGGGAACATTGGCTTTTTTTTAATAAATAGTTACAAGGAACACAACGATATGCAATTTATAGGGATGATGGGGGTCTGGCCCACCGTGTAATCAGAAGACGGAGAAAAATAGCTGCCAATAGGAAAGTCTGGCGGAAGCTTGTTTCTGAAGTACAGGTCCATTAAGGACTGTAGAGCAAATTAATAATAACTATATTAATTTAATGTTCTATATTACTTTATTTTTACTATCAATTGCCTATACATGAAACACATAGAAAATGGTCAGTGTGTATGTGTGTATGTGATCAGTCTACTCAAAAACGAATAGTCGTACGAAACTGAAATTGCGTATTTAAGGTTTTTATATGCCTGGGATGTTACAGCAAATTTTTCCTGAAAATTGGCTTAACAGAAGTGCCACTTTATATTATCGATTTTCCACGTTTTTATAATTTTCTCGAAAACTGCTCTAACTATTTAGATTAAACTCGGTGGATTGAGGTATAATTATATGGTATTTAATATTAGCTAGGCCTTATATCTCTATTGATGTCGCTTAACAGTGCTTAGCTGCTCAATGTTCAAAATTTCTCTCTCTAAAGTACCTTCAATTTGGTTTATTTTGAATAATCAACTATTTTTATGGTTAGCAATAATGAAAAAGGCTAATTATAAACTATAAAAGAATTTTATTATTGACTAAAGGAGAAAAAATATTTTTTTTTAGGTTGAAAATTAATTTCCAGAAATAATACTCAGAATGTATACATATAATATATCGTTGGAAAGCTAAGAATTTTGAAAAAACAATATCTAACATCTAAACTTTTGAAATTATTTTTTATTAGAAAAAAAGGATATAAACTCCACCGAATCAAGGCAACGTTAAAAAAAATAATAATTCATTGTAGTTGTGTTAAAAAAGTGAAAGATAAAACTATTTGATCGAAGTGTAAAAATTTGTTTATAACCTTAAGTACATTTACTGTAGTTTAATAACTCTTGATTAGATATTACATTTAAATAATTAGGTATCTATTGCCCGTTTATTTTATTTTTTTTAAATATTCTTTATTGAGATATATTACAATCTGTAACATGTAAGGACAATAGCAATAGTGATAAAGAGTAGCTCATTCACACTATGTACAATAAATTTTAAAAAAATGAACTGCAAAATAATAATACTATAACTAAATGTATATAAACTGAAAGAAATTAAATTAAAAAAAAATAAACTGAACTAATCAAAATAACATCTTAAATACATACATGACTCAAATACATACATGCCCGTTTATTAAAAAAAAAAAAAAAAAAAATCATATAACTATCTAGAAAATAAAATTAGTGAATAATTTTATATTTTTTCCCTTTGTGTAATCAAAACATTGTCCACTTACAATTAGTGTGACAACTTTTCAAATATTTATGGTAGGCAATGAAAATCTCGTAACTCCATTTTGATAAACTTTACAATGGACAAATAAGAGTTTAAAAACTAATAGTAGAACAATCCATGATCATTCATAGGTTAAATATACAGATGTACTTTCAAATCTCTCCAGGCAAATATAGCTCAAAGACTGGAGTTAAGTGGTTCACAAAAACAGACGGAGTTACGAGGTATACGATTTAACTCCACTAAAAATGCATTTGATAATTTTGTAATAGCCTAACATTAGCAGAAAATGATTTATGTTAAAAGTAGAGCGGTAAGTGAAAATTGTGTGAAGCGCCTTCTAGATTTTTTAAATTATGGTCGACATGAGTAAACCATAATATCATAATGATAGAATAGAAAACATATTGAGATTTTTTTTTCGATGCAATCGAAGGATCTGAAGAAAGAAGTAGGCAAAAATCATACATTTTAAGCAAGGCCAATGGTGGAGAGATCTGAATGGAGTAAATTACGGGTTACTACGAGTGGGGATAGCTTAATCGGCGGGATTTCCCCTCGTCTTCCAGCGTCTGGTTTTTTTTACTGGACCCTACCCCAGTGAAGGTCATTTTTGTTGGTGGTGTGGCTTTAGTCTAACGCCGTCATCCGACCTGTCCGGACCGCGCTTTCGTTCTATGTCGATATGGAAAAGACCAGCGAGTCCGAAAACAAACAATGGAGGGAAATGCGGGTAAAAGAGAAGATATCTTATATTGTTAAAAACATTACCGTCGAGCCCATCCTCACTTGTTACATTCTTCCCAACATAGTCGCTAGCCTAGCAACCCAGAATCTCAATTTGGAAAAGGCGTGTCGAGTCAACTTGAAGAGCGACAATGTCACTGCCGAGGTCTGTGATATGATCAAATCACGGAACGTTACAAAGGATATAGAGCAGTATGAACAGGAAGCACAGCTCCTGGTAGTCGGAATGACCTATTGGCAGTCTGTCATGAGAAGCACACTCCCAGCCATTTTCATTCTCTTCTTAGGCTCCTTTAGCGACAGAAGTGGTCGCCGGAAACCGTTTATGTTGCTTCCGATTGCTGGAGAACTATTAACTTCGGTAGGTCTTATACTGTGCACCATTTACGAAGATTGGCCGATGGAGGTTGCCGGATTCGTTGAAGCCATTTTTCCAGCCCTGACTGGTGGATGGACGACAATGTTCATGGGTGTCTTCAGCTACATGGGCGACATTACGTCTGTTGATAGCAGGACACTGCGGCTAGGTATTGTCAATATATGCGTTCAATTAGCCGCCCCTTTAGGCATGCTCAGCAGCGGTTTCTTATACCAAGCTATCGATTTCATTGGTGTTTTCAGCATCGTTACGGCAATGTATGTTATAGGATTGATCTACGGAGTTATCAGGATAAAAGAGATCAGAAAACCCAACAAATTAAAGCACAACATAATCAAAGAATTAACCAATCCTATGCATATCATAGAAACCTTTCGTGTATCCTTTAAATCCCGCGAAGGAAATTTAAGAACTCGGGTTATTCTAGTGATGATTCTCTCAATAACGATTTATGGTCCAATAAACGGTAAGTTTTTTTTTCAGTTTTTATTACACACCAAATAAAAAATGGCATTTATCACTAAAAAGAATTTTTCCAAAATTTAAATGTATTTTAGAACATGTAACATTATATATACACGAACCATATTAATATCATGTTTCAGAAATATATTAAGATTTGAGCCATAAATGAATACAAAAAAGTACAAAATTATATCTACAAGTTTATTTTTTATATTATTTGTATGGAAGAAAATATTTTTAATTCATTTTAGGTAAATCTATGAGGCAAAATATTTTATATATAAATAATTTTAAAACAAAAAGTAAGGACGCAAGAGATTATTTCATAAAATTACTTACTCCCTCAAAAAAAAATTGAATATATTTAGTTCAATAAAATAAATAATCAAGAAAATTTTAACTTTTTAAAGAAAAATTATATCGTTTCCATAACGAAATTTCAATTTAATATGTTTAAAGGGACAATAACACAATAAACATATAACAAACTGAACTCTATTTTTTTAATCAATTCTGGGATCTATTTCAAAATATGGAATTTCGGAATAATCTAATGAGGGAGAAAAACAGATTAAAATCAAAAATAATTTATACCACAATTTCACATGGGATGGGATATTATAATACTAAATTTCTATAATTTGACAGATACGATTAAAAATGAATAGGGAACGACTTTGTTAGGACGCTTTTTCAAAAATAATTTGTTGTAAATATTTATGTATTTATTTTATTTTTTTGGAATTGGAAATATTCCATATCACTTTTGACATAGGATTGTGATAAAATAAAAAAGAAGAATTTTTTTTTTTCTTCGATTTACTAGATTCTACGGATTTAAGATGTATTTTATTTTTACATTCCTCGCTATGTATATATATTTTCTCCCTCTCAATATTGTTTTTATATATAGTCTACAATTCTATTTCATTGTTTACATTACCATTGTGAGTATTCATTCAAAGTTCTTAAGTAACACATATAAATAAGATATTGGCTTTACTTACTTTTCTTTAGTTTTTTTTTTTAATTTTGTTGCTACAATGGTTCTCTCATCAAATTAATTTAATGTTCCTTTCCTATTTTATTTTTTTAACTATTTTTATTTTATTTTTCTGATACAGCGATATTGAAATATTGTGATCCTGCTGCTCATCCGCTTTCACTAATATATCTTTAAGCTATATATACCTGTTTTATTATTTATTTTTCAGTTATTCTTTTTTGTATTACATCTTTTGGCCAGATGTAATGCTAATTTGTATAAACAATATTGTGATTCTTAAGGGACGTTGTCCAAGAATAAAGTTGATATTTCTATTCTATTCTATTTCAAATATCCCTTTGATCTCAAACAATTAATGTACACAAATATATATACAGGGTGTCCTGTAAGTAGGGGAAAATTTTTATATAAGTGATAGCAGACCTCAACATCTACAAAAAAGTCCATATAAAAAATGGGCCAATTTTCAGCATTAAAGTAACAAATCCAAGTTTTGTGTTTTTTCAAGTAGGTCGTATTTTTTATTGAATCGAAAGCAATAAGTAAAGAAATATTTAGTTTAAGTAATTAACAATTACTTCATTGTAAGAAAGATGAAATTTCCTTTAAAAGAAAGTTTAGTTTATCATTTTAAAACCATTTAAAGAGAAGTTTTTAGCGGCTAAACTAAGCTAAGTTCAGGTTTTAAAAAATCATAAATTATTCGGCATTTTTTTTTATCATCATCCAACTATACTACAGTTTCTCTATTTTTACCAAAACGTTATCGTTTAATAAGCTTCAAGTTAGTATTAATTAAGTTGAGGGTTACTAGGGAAAATTTTGAGATTCAGCTCAACTTTTGTAAACAAATGATGATATTATTTATCCTGTCAAGTAAAAGTACTCCGTGTTTTCAGCAAAAACGACTACAATTGATTGTTGCAAAGCTTTTATTTCTTATTTTTCCATGATTTGGTATCTATTTTAATAAAACCAATTTCTTAAACATACAGTTTACTTATAAAAAAATTAATTCGAAAAATACTGATTTTTCAAATATTTTTTTCGGTAAATGGGTTATAAACAGTTTTTTTACTCAGATCTCTATTTTAGGAATTCATCCGAATTTATAAGTAAAATAAATGTTCCTGATCCTAATATTAATGTTTTAATTAAAACAATTGAAGCAATCAGCAGGTTTTTTTTAAACATAAATTGTAGGACTTCTTCCCTAATAAACCTCAAATTAATTAATATGAACTTTAAGATTATTAAACGAATTTTTTTTTGTAATGGTGGGGAAACTAGTATAGGTGGATCATGATAAAAAAAATGGCTAATAACTTATGATTTTTCTAAAAACCGAACTTAGCTTTGTTTAGCCGCTCAAAAGTCCTCTGTAAAAGGTTTTTACAATGATAAACTCTTTGTTAATTTAAAGCAAATTTCATCTTGTTTACAATGAAGCAATTATTAATTACATAAATTAAATATTCCTTTAGTTATTGCTTCCGATTTAATAAAAAACATGGCTCACTTAAAAAAACACAAAACTTGGTTTTGCTAATTTTCTGCTGAAAATTGGTCTGTTGTTTATATGAACTTTTTTGTCGCTCTTGAGGTCTGCTATCACTCCAAAAAAATTCTCCTTACTTACGGGACAACCTGTGTATAAATCTTAGTTACTGTGCGTCTAATGAGAAAAAGAAAAAAATATTTATTTTGGCCAAGGCTCATCAAAACTATTTGAGTAAAATACGATATACTTATAAAAAAATATATTAGTACACTTTTTACTGACTTTTACTCTAATAATAGTGTTGCGTAAGTTATTAATCAAGTGCCCGAAAAAGAACACTTTAGATAAGCCTAAGAAACATACAGAAATATATGAGCAATATGTAGGTTACTTTCATATCATTTCCATAACCTGTTTTCGAGCTGCAACTATAAAATATATTAATGGAAGAACTTTTATTGCACCAATTTTTCCTTAGTTTATTCTCTAATTTAGTAACCGAATACTGGGACAAACTGTACGTAATTTTCTAGTTAATACTAAAAATTGAAAGGATCTAGCAATCTGTTGCTCAAAATTCAATTGGATTTAAATGAACGCATTGCCCAATAACTGCTAAGAGTGTTATATTGAGTATTAATTTTACAGTAAATAAATATTTTTCTCTCGGAAATGGTATAATATAATAAACAACTGTTGAGAAATTACACGATTTGGTTGAATATTACAGTTAAAGTAATGTTTGAGCGTTGAGTACTCATGAGTAAGATATTGGTGACAAAGACTCCCGTTCATTCCCTACTTCCGCTCCAATTCGTCATTGACTCATTAATTCCCTTATTTTAATTATTACAATTAGGGTTTTTTTGCAAATAAGTTATCATCTACACATTCCGGAACTTTTTTAGTATCAATGTTTTCTTACATTAATAATGTTGATACTACACTAGACACGGCAAGGAATATTGCTAAAAACAAGCAGAATTAATAATATTCATAAATATTAAGTTTGTTTCCTGAGTTAGAAACAGTCATTAGACCTCCTTTATTATCAATATAAATTTAAATAATTTCTGAAGTAAGTATTAAATAGATATTTAAGTACTTGACGAAGAAAAAGTGAATGAAATTAATATCATATAGAATCATTTTGTTTATTGAAACCTGATTTAAAATTGCAATGATATTTGTTGTTGCATGATTCGAAAATAGTTTCTAATTATATTTTTTATAATTAACAATAGAACTTTTCGCAGTAGATAGAAAAGTTTCAAATAAATTAGCTGTTTCGAATTATATAACCAGATCCCGGATTTTTATGCGTTTGTATAATTTGTTTGTATGAAATTTTTAAACTGCTAATCAAATATCTTTATGAATTAGGGTATACGGATTAGTCAAATTTCATATTGCATATTTGATGACAATTGCATGGAATTTCTCATTTTGATTACATTAAAATATAAAAAATAATAAATTAAAATGCATTGAAGATGAAATTCTATATTACAATCCTAAGATCATTTTCAAACAACTAAATGACTCTACCTTTAGTAATATGGATTTTATTTTAATTACCTGGTTTTTTATTATTCTAAAATAATCCATATTTTAAGTTGCCAAGTATTATAATTAGTTTTGTGTTATTTATTTTGTTCATGTCCATTAGATTTTAGTCTTCAGCTAATCATTGATAATTTTCTTTTATTATTTATTGTAATTTTCTATTATTTACGTTTTAATAGTATCTCACATTAAGTTTCTAATTAGTATTAATTTTATTTTTAACTGCCTTCAATTTCGTTTTATACATTTTTTTAATGAAATATTGTCAATTAGAATGAAACTAAACGAAAGCTCATATTATTTTGATATTTTAGTTTTTAAAATTATTTTTCTAAACATTAACAAATATATATTTTTACTTTACGTTTTCCAAATTGTGTTTAATTAATTATTTCGGTTTATAAAATAGTATATATATTTTTTAATATGTTTAATTCATACTCCAAAATATTTTCGATTTCATTACATCTGTAGGTACATTAATTTAATTTAATATTTTAGATGTTTTATTGCATATTGTAAGTACTTTTTGCTGCATACCAGCATTTTATGGTTTATTACTGCATATTTACTGTTTTTTATTAGATATTACTTGGCATATATTTTAGGTTTTTAATACAAAAAAATACCGATGGAAATAAAACGATGGATGATGAAGATCCTTTCAATACACAAGCCTCTCTATATTGGTCACTGCGTTAGAAAATGGCAAAAGAGTGGACTTTAGCTAATAACAAGTATACTAATGTTTTTAGGATTTTTTAAAAACTATTTATTTATTGAATATTACAATATTCTGTCATTTGGACATTATTTATAGTGAGATAGGATCACATTCACACATTCAAGTAGAAAAAAAGATAAAATAAACAAAAGGAAAACAACTAAATAATAATCAACAAGTATAAACAATAAATTAAATAAAATA